GGACCTCAAGAGGCTGGAAAGGTGGGCCCAGGTGAAGCTGATGAGGTTCAACACAGCAAAGTGCAGAGTTTTGCACTTGGGCTGGAGGAATCCCAGGCATCCATACAGACAGGAAGGAGTGGTGCTTGAGAGCAGCCCTGCGGAGAAGGACCTGGGGGTCTTGATAGATGAAAAGCTTTAACATGAGCCAGCAGTGTGCCCCTGCGGCTCAGAAGGCAAATGGGATCCTGGGCTCCATCAGAAGAAGGGTGGCCAGCAGGGACAGGGAGGTCACTGTCCCCCTCTACTCAGCTCTTGTGAGGCTCCATCTGGAATACTGCGTCCAAGTGTGGAGCCCCCCAGCACAGAAAAGACAGGGAGCTGTTAGAGAGGGTCCAGAGGAAAGCCACAAAGATGATCAGGGGACTGGATACCAATAACTAAAGGGAGCCTACAAACAGGAGGGGAATCAACTCTTGGAAAGGGTAGATAACTGCAGGACGAGGGGAAATGGTTTGAAGTTGAGGGAGGGAAGATTTGGGTTGGATGTCAGGGGGAAGTTCTTTACAAAGAGAGTGGTGAGGTGCTGGAACAGCTGCCAGAGAGGCTGTGGATGCCCCATCCATCCCTGGACATGTGTTCAAGGCCAGGCTGGATGGGGCCATGGGCAGCCTGGGCTGCTATTAAATGGCCCTGCTTGTGGCAGGGGGTTGCAGATTCGTGATCCTTGAGGTCCCTTCCAACCCTGTGATTCTGTGATCTCTGTCCACAGGACGCAGCCAGTGCTGGTAGTTTATGCCATATTGTGTTTGCCTTCACAGCTTTACCCACATGCCTAGCAGCTCGTAGCAAGAGTCAGAACCCTTCTGTTTTAACCACAGGATAGAATATGCAAAATGAAGATGCCTCTTCTTCCTTTCAGTCTTCAAATTAGCAGGCAGAAGCATTTGTAGGAGCTATGAAAACGTAACGAGAAAGTGAATGTTGCAGATCTGGTATACCTACACTGCACAAGCTAATGTACATTTACTCAGCCAAAAGCAAGACATACAATGTGGCTTGCATGTGCAGTCATAAACAAGCAACTTGAACCTGGGATATTAATGCTGATCATTAACTGCTTTCTAAAGAACAAGATTCTTTACAGATACTATTTGATTAACAGTGTCAGTACTAATAGCTGTAAGAATACTGCAGACAAACTGAATAGAAAGAACAGTAGAGGCAACTTCAATATTTTTGAGAGGAGGTTTTTCCATTACAGTTTCAAAGTCCAGTGTAGTCTGAAAAGTCTCAATTAGTGAACAAAGCGTGGGCAAAACCCCACCCAAACAATCACACACAGCTCTCAGTCAGAGAAGACCAATGTAAACAAAGGAAAGAATGTGGACGCCAGCTCAGTTTTGGGCAACTGGTTCCACATAGTATGTGGTTCCTGGAAGCAGCACGTGCCCATAGCAGTGTCCTGCACCAGGTGCTGACAAATAGCTGGATCTTGTCCACATGCTCTTCCTGTCTGAGAAAATTCCCCAGCATCAGATCACAAGAAAGCTCTCTCTCATGCAGCGCCAAGAGCTTGGGTCAAGGCTCAGGATTTGCTGTGATGTGAATACATTTTTCCTGAAGAGAAAGATCAACACAGCAAATTTACAAGAGTCAACTGCAGACATTACCCAATGCTGTCACAGAAATCACAGAAACATTCCTAAGCAAAACATATCAATGAAATCTGAAGCACAGCACAGAGTGCCTCACTATGCCTGCAAAAGGATAAGACAAAGCCCAGAAAAAAGTAGTGAAGTCTAATCCTCCTGCTACTCCTTCCCATACTACACAAAGGCTTCACAGCTGCACCCACATCTTCTCCCATATGAAAGATGTTGAACTTTCCAGCCTGCCCTCAAACCACCACCAGAGGTTTCAAGATCTCATTCCTACAGCTCTGACAAATGCAGTGTCAGTTCACGACTTCCAGGTAAATCTGGTAAATGAGATCAGTTTCTTTTTTTAGCACCAGGGCACAACACATCTCCCCACAGTGGAATTCAGAGGCATGAAGAACATTGAAATAAAAGCTTCAGAAACTCAGTGAACTGTGTCCAGAGGAAGAGAAACTCTGAGAAAAGGTTAGGTGGGATGAGTTCCTGAGGAATATAAAGAAGGAATGCAGCCACAGCTTGGCTGCTGAGAAGACATGAGACAAAGTGGCCAGAGCACTGGTTACATGTAAGACTCTCTTAACACAACTTTGAATTTAACAGCTCTGTTGGAAAGAGTTTGTGCTCACTTACATGGAGCAACATCAGGGAATCATCCTGGCTGTGAACTTGCACTTAGCTCCCCCAGTCCAGATGAAAGTAGTGGGAACATGCAAGCAGCTATTGTGAAAGCTCTCATCTTTAAACTCACTCTTTCATCATTTGGCACCTTCCACTCAGGAGAAGAAATTTTGTAGCCTGGTTTAAGAGTGCCTGTTTTAGTTACATCTATGTCACCATGAAAGTTTAAAGCATTCCAAAACAGTTCAAGACTCTCCTCTACTTTTTTTTTTTTTCATTTTTAAACAAACATCAACAGACAAAAACTCCAGCTGACTCTGCTTCACACAGGCAAATCAAACCAGACAAATCCCCAGAAATTGCTGCCAACCTCAACCATTCTGCACATCCGTGTGGAGTTCCTGACACCAGAAAGAGCGCGAGCAGCCAAAGCAAAGGTGCCACACTGCTGCTGGAAACCAAACACACTTAGCTCTTAGACAGAAGCCTGCTGGACTCCTAATGCATCGCACTTCCTCTACTTTACAAGCCTCAAGACCAAATGGCTCTTTCCCAGAGTGCTATAACACCTTAAGAGAAGGCAGCAGCAGGAGCTGGAGGGAGACTTCAGTAGAAGAGAAGCCACCAGACCCAGGACCCATAGCCATTCTGCAAGCCCGGATCCACAGGCCCAGACTGCAGGCCTGCTTGTTCCAGCCCTTCCCGGCCCTTTTATCTGTTTTGTTCCTTTTGAGCTCTTCTTCCACCTGGATTCTTTTTTCCATCCCTTCTCTCTTGCTGCACTGCTCATTTCCTCCTGAATGTGCAGCCATTCACTGCTCCCTACAAGAAAGGCCACATTTGTTCACCTTCCATTTCCAGATTATTGTCTGCTGATGCTGCTTGCTGAGGCAGAACTACTTCGTAAATTCAATTGCCAATGGAGCTTCATTCCTGAGCTATTGTGAGCTTCTGGTCTTTCAAAACAAACGTACTAAAAATGTACCTCCATATTAAGTATCTGACACATCAAATAAAGTTTTCCCACAAACACAAGGTTTGGGTTAAGCTGCTTAATGCTGGACTTTTGGCCCCAGGGTACACAAAGGGGTTTAAAACACAAGATGTTATAGAGTGCTGCATTTTGACAGGGCACTGCCTTTCAGCAGAGATGCTCCTACCAAAATCCCACATGTGGACACCATTAGCAACATTCACAGGCATTAGCAGCCCTGGTTTCCACAGTACACAATAGGCCTTTGTTTGAAGCCTGGCACTGCATGGAATGAGAGCACAGTACCAGAGGAAGCCTGACAACAGATGGTTTGATTTGCAGAAAGTTCTCTTTGGGTTTAGCTCTCATATTGCATTCAGGAATTAGTGGCAGTCAGAGGCTGAAAATACTCTCTTGAATCAACCACTGCAGAAATACCATCAATAAGAACAATGCTAACTATCATCAGGCTCCAACTAGCAAAACCATTTCTTGAGCAGTTGTCTCCAGACTTCATCAGCACAGAACTGACCACTGCAAGGATAACATAAGTTAAAAGCACATTACTGAGAGCATTACCACCTTACCTTACAACCTTCACAGAAAGGAAATTTTCCCTAATTCCCAGTCTCAGCTTCCCCTAGCCCATCTCCATGCTGTTCCCATCCTGCCATCAGCTCCCTGGAACCTGGCACCTCCCTCTGCTTTCCCTCCTCAGGGAGCCATTACCTCTTCTGGCTGCATTCAAGGACCTTACTGTCCTTTTAAAACTGTGGAGTCCAGAACTGCACTGAGTACTCAAGGTGAGGTAGCACCAATACAGTGCTAAATACAGTGGGAGAATCACCTTTTACCAGCTGGCCATGCTGTGCTTAATGCATTCAAAACAGCATTCTTTATACAGCAAAGGGCTACTAGCACAGGAGCCATTTCTCTGATCATTTGTCTATCGGAATTCTAATTGGACAGGCTATGGTAATCATTCCATCTCCAAAAGTTAACATTCACTGCAAAAAAGAAAACCAATTATAAGAAGAAAAACAAAAACAGCAGAGAAAAGCAACTCTTAAAGAGCAGTAAACAAAGATTTGCTTACTAGGGTGCCCATAAGCTGAAAGCTAGGCTACCATTAGAGAAAGCACCACTATATAACTCCTGAGCTTTTTCCTAGCACACTAGGCAAAATAAAATTTCAATTTGAATGTATATGGCTATTGCTTCCACTTTTACAATTCACAATCACATTTAATTCAAGCCCAGGTCAGAACCTACCCATGGGTCAGCCTAGGAAAGGAAACAACAGTTCAATTTCCAGTACTTGCCCAGAAATCACTGTGGAGCCAGCAGGTGAGTAGTAGGTGCCATTTCTACCAGCCTGTACTGTCTTAATCTGCATGCAGACAAAGAAGCCCAATGGAGTCCACCACCTTTTTTCCAGTAGTAGCTTTCTACTACACTGGACAACTCTGAGTAGTTGCAATACAAAAGTAAAGGGGCACGATATTCAAGGAGTCTCTACCACAGCAGAAATAAGAAAAGCAAGCCTCAATGAAGGTGGATCTCTGTGCAATCAAAGAACATACTAGCTTGCAAAATCTCTTTCTCTGAGCCAGAAGGTGAAAGTTCACCAGCTCCAGTTCCAGGTCACAAGCTTAGGATGCCCTATTTTAGAAACCATCCGACCTTTTCATCACTATAATCCCACCAAGCACATTCATATCAATGCAGTGTGTAGATTCAAAACCCTTCCATGTTTCCTACTTTCATACCTCTGTTTCAGGACGAGGAATAAATACTGGAGGTCTCATCTTCAGATTCAGGTCCTGAAAGTCCCACTCACCAAGCACATATTGCACTGGCATTCTGTGTCAGGCAAAAACAAATGAAAACACTCGAGGATTACACTTTGTAACATAAAAAGCTCTCACTACCATGCTTACTTCATTGCTAACCACACAAGCCCTTTGATGGTGGACATCTAGATGCCACTGAGGCTCTCAACTGCATGTGCAACACGCATGTGCAAGCTCCTTGAAAGCTCTGGTAGTTCCACTTCCACAAAACAGTGTCTTGACAAGCACTGGACTGGGGAAACTAAGGGCCAGTCAACTCACTTCAATCCTGAAAAAACTGAGGGAGCAAATAATCCTGGAAATAATTTCCAAACATGTTAAGAACAGAATGGATTTACTAAGGTGAAGTCGCTCCTGACCAGAGTCCTCTGTGTCCAGTGCTGAGCTCCTAACTACAGAAAAGGCATGGATGTACTGGAGCAAATCCAATACAGGGCCATTAAGATGACTAAGGGATTGGAGGACCTGATATACAAGAAGAGACTGAGAAAGCAGGGACAGACCTGGCTTGAAAATGAAAAGCTCAAGTGAGGTGGAAAATTCATCAATAACTACATGCATCTGGTGGAAGGGAGTAAAGAAGATAAAGTCAGATTTTTTGTGGTAAAATGTAAGCTGAAAGAAAAGAGGCAATGGGTACAGATTAAAATACAGAAAACTCCATTTAATCAAAGAACCACCCCCTTCTTTCCCACCCCTTTTTTCCCCTCTTTTAGAGAAAACTCTCCCAAGAATGACAGTAAGATGATTCTCCCACCTTTCCAGTCGCTTGCAGCTCAGTTGCTGGATCTGCTCCTGCTGCACTGCTGTAAGCGGAGAGCGGAGTTTTTCGGAGTCCAAGCTCTGAAACTGAAGACAACATCACTTTAAAACCTGCCCACTTGTGCAACTTGCGTGTTGTCTGCACCCTGCAGGCAGAGCCAGCAGAACAACAAACACATACAGAGGGCACTCTGAAACTCCAAACGACAAGGAGAACCTATCTGCCTGTTTAACAAGAAACCTGTATGGCTGCAGTTTAGGTAGTTACAGTGTAGATAAGATAAAGAATCACTCCACCAAACAAGTCAGGCCGTTATGCTGGTTTATATGTCATGGGTAACATTTCAGGCCCTGCAAAGAGAGCACATAGGAGATCCCAAGAACTTTACTTGCATTAATAAATTACATCCCACGCTCTCTGCCCTCTGAGGGAGGGAAAAGCTGTTCTAGCTCCTGTAAGTGAGATAAAAAGAAGTGTAAGGGGATTAGTCCAAAAAACATAAAGCAAGGGGCACACGCAGATCTTACTCCTTTTCCATGACTTAACTGTTTTTGCTCCCAAGACAAATGACACGATATATTCACTGGATTCTCGTGCTTCAGGGATCCCGTTCTTCTCAAACACCTTTTGCCAGTAGCTGACCACATCAGGGGCAGTCAGCAGCCCAGGTCTTACACTGCAGCTCTGTCTCAAAGACGACTGTTTGGAACTGAGGTTAGGACTTTGACTAGGTCCCACTGACACATACTGAGGCAAAAGCCCCCAGAACCTCCTGAAAAGTGAGGGGCTGACGCATCTCATTGTTGCAAAGTCACCTCCTGGTTTCCACGTGGGCTCCTTGTTTCTGTCAGCTGATCTAATCCATGAAGAGACTCACACAACACTCAATGCAGCCACAAGCCACTTGGGCTAAGCACCACCTGATCACAATTAGCAGATGCTCCTCAGGGCAGAAGAAAAAGGTCAGCAGGCTCACAACAGCTCACAGCGCGAAACCAGAGGAAGAGAAACTCGGAATACGCGGGGCCGGGTCGGCTCCCAGCAGGCAACGCTGCAGCACGGAGCAACCGAAGAAAGAGTCAGGCCCGCGGCCCGGGACACCGCCACAGGAAGAAGGACGAAGGAATTAACTGCACTGCTGCCGGCAGAGCGCAGGACGAGCCTCCCGCAGCCGCTCTGCGGGCTGACCGACCTGAGGCCCGGCACAGGTCCTGCCCTTAGCGAGCTGCCGCGGGCGGCAGCAGCCCTACCTCAGCTCGCTTCAGCTCGGCAACTCTGCCTCAGCCACCCAGCACACGCAGCGCCCCCGGCCACGCCACCTCAGCGGGGGGGCGCGCCCACAACACGCTCCCTCACCTCAGCGAGGGCGGCGCGGCAGAGAACCGCCTCGTCGCCGCGCGCGCGAGCGACGGCAGAGCCGACCAACCGCGACTCGCGACCCGCGGCCGTCGGCCAATCGCTCGGGGGCGCTGGGCGGAGTGGCGGGGCTAC